CAACGTCCAGCAATTTTTCCAGACGAGGTCTCACTCTGGCTCAGGCTGGTCTTGAACCTGTGAGCTCAGGCAATCCACCCTCCTTGGCCTCCCAAGTGCTGGGATTACAGGCCTGAGCCACAGTACCCGGCTCATGTGGCTTTTCTCTGGGGTGCCTTGTTCTGTGGCAAATGCTTTAAGTTCCTTGGTTTATGAGTTCCCCAAAGTGCCTGCCTTATAGGTCCGGGAAGGCTCTAAGGAAGTCTCTTTACCTGGCTCTGCCTGTTTTCCATCTGCCCCATGGGCAGCTGTCCTGTTTAGAGACGAGGTCTCGCTCTGGCTCAGGCTAGTCTCGAACCTGTGAGCTCAGGCAATCCACCCGCCTTGGCCTCCCAAGTGCTACGATTACAGGCATGAGCCACTACGCCAGGCAGGAAGTATAAAGATTTTATAGAGATCCATGAAAATGTGAGAATGCCCTGCGCTAAGGCTATTTGACCAGGAAAAATGTTAACTGGACAGAGAAGAGATTTCTTTCCTGGTTTAGCAATATGAGGCTTTTCTTGTGGGACACGGTCTTAATGTGTTAGCCTCTTTGCGGCTCAGATCCCTGAACCAAAAGTGAAAATTGCCATTCTCCAGAAGCCATTCATCTGCCATCAAACCAAAGGAGGGGATTTGATGTGAGGCCACTGTGAAGGCTCCTTTCACTGTACTCACATCTGGTTTACCCTGGAGGCTCTGAAAAGCTGGGACCAGGGCTTGAAAGGAATGAGTGTCAGAGAGAAAGGGAAGCTCATTCCTCCTGCCCTGCGCTATGGAAAAGAAGGAGAAGGCAAAATTCTTCCAGAGAGTACAGTGATAGTCAGCATTGATCTCCTAGAAATTAAAAAGTGGACCAAGATCCCATGAATCATTCTAAGAAATGGATCTTTACAAGGACTGGAAACTCTCTAAAGATGAAGTTGAATTGTATTGAATGAAAGAAGGCATTTGAGAAGCAGTGTGGTAGTGAATGAAAGTTATCAGGATGTTTTGGTGCAGGATATTTTTGATAAAGAAAATGAAGACAAAGATGGATTTGCATCTCCTAGAGAATTTACATATAAAGGTGACCAGTTATAGAGATATGTCTACCCATTTTACATAGCATCTTTAAAGAAAGGGTAGTCATCTTTAACGAAAGTTTTATTTTTTAACAATATTCTGTTCCTGCTTTGTTTTTTATATTTATATATCTTTTCTGACTCTTATTTAAAGGACGCCTGAGGGTTTTTAAGTGCTTGTTTCTTTCTGTTAAGTTACTGGGAAGAAAAAAAATTCATTTGAATAGAAGACTTCTAGACTACTTTCTACTGTTATATATGAAGACTCATTTTGCTTTCTTAGTTATTTAAAAATGCTGCAGCTCGGCTTGGCGCCTATCACTCAACTGGCTAAGGCGCCAGCCACGTACACCTAAGGTGGC